TGTTACTGGCTCATCTTTCCTAATCCTTCCTGTAATGCATTTTTAAATGTTCTTAGTATCAGGAGCAGTTTGTTTAGTGCCAAAAGTTGCCAGTGAGGACCACGGATTATTTTGGGGGGGGGGGGGGGGGGCGCAGAGAATACAGAATTGAGGACCTTTAAAGGAAAAAGATGGAGAATCATTTGGAGAAACTGATGGTAATAATAACTGAGACTTAAGTTGTATTGTTTTTATTTGCAATCTATAATGGTTAGGGATTTATTTGTGAACAAATCCCAACTGCTGCAAACCAAATATAATGGATGGAGGTTTTATTTGAGGCTTGGGTAACTACGGAAAAATTTGGTTCTAAACTCGTTTCGTTTTTAGGGGGTTTTTGCGTTTCGTTTTTTTAAAAATTCCGAAATTTTCCTTTAAAAAAGTTCAAAATATACGAAATTTCATAAAATTACGAATCGATTCGTTAATGGCGGACGCGATTGCGCAATATGCTAAAAAACCCTCCAAATGGGACAGGGAGAACTTCTGAAGCTTCCCTCTCCCTCTGTTGTTGACTGTTGGTGTGATAATTTATTTTTTATCACTGATAAAACAAACAACAACCCTAAAACTTGCACCAGACATACGGAAATAATTACGAAACAATTTCGAAACAATTACGAAACAATTTTGAAACAATTACGAAATAAATTGAAAAAATCGTTTCAATTTTTAATTGCTCCTGCATGGCTCAATATCGGATCGTAAGCTAATTTAAATACGAATTAATAACGAATTACGAAATTAACGAACGAAACCGCCCAAGCCTACATCAGTTATAATGGATTATGGCTTCTGGGAATTAAAACCCAAAATCAAGAGCTGTAACAAGCTGGAACTTTCTTCTGGCCAAAAAAACCTTTTGAAAGATCTCTGGCACCCACCAAACTTAAAAGCAATGTTAAGCCTTTGGCTTCCTTGAGGTATCTTTAGGCAAGAATGTGCAGGATTCGCACTCAGGCCTGTGCACTGAGGTAACACTGGAGAGATTTTCTCCTTTAAAATATGCGCTGCCACCAATAAACCTTTGATTTCTTCAGTAAATTGCTTTTGAAATTTCTTACACAGAGGCACACGTGAGGCAGAAGTTGTGAACAACAAAACAATGATGTTTATTTAAGAGAACTTGAACAAAATAGGCAATAAGCTTTGTTGGTTTGAAAGATTGTCTTAAAAGCATGTGGTTTCTTTAAGCAGTTCAAACTTAGTTACAAGTACACTCCTTTCTCCCTCCACCAGAGATTACTGACAGGATGGCTTCTCTGAAAGTAACTCTAAACTCCTTCACACAGACAGTCCTTTACTCTTGGGATCTGTCACTCCACTCCCCAGCTATCTTCCCTAATAGCTGTAATCATCCCACTAGTTATCTCTGTTAGCTAACTGTCCACTTAGGCCTCTCTCACTAATCCCTTCTCCACTCCTAGCTCCTTATCCCTTGACACCCATGTTTAATCTACCTGACAGGGTTTTAAAATGTCCCCTTAAAGTCATTTTTTCCTTTTCTAAGTTAAGCTCCGCCCACTCTCTCTCAGCCAATCTCTAACTCCTCTCATTTCCAAATACCTAAGTTCGTTCCCTTCAGGAAATGAGATTTTAAAATGGATACCCTTTCCAAAATGGCCGCCGAACTTCCTGGGCCTACATTCCTAGGCTTTTCCTAGCCTAACACACCATCACATTTGTTTTAACTTATAGTGACCCCATGAATGAGAGCCCTCCAGCAACTGACTTCCTCAGATTTTATAAACTTCCTAGATTGAACAAATCCATCTGTAATCTTTCTTTCTGTTTATGTTGTGGTAGTGGCAATGTGCTTATGGCTACCCTAAGGCCATAAGTTGTATCCTAAATCATTAGGGGGTTCATGGCAAGGTGAAATTCAAGAGAGATATTGACAAGCTGGAATGTGTCCAGAGGAGGGCGACTAAAATGATCAAGGGTCTGGAGAACAAGCCCTATGAGGAGCAGCTTAAGGAGCTGGGCATGTTTAGCCTGAAGAAGAGAAGGCTGAGAGGAGATATGATAGCCATGTATAAATATGTGAGAGGAAGCCACAGGGAGGAGGGAGCAACCTTGTTTTCTGCTTCCCTGGAGACTAGGACACGGAACAATGGCTTCAAACTACAAGAAAGGAGATTCCATCTGAACATTAGGAAGAACTTCCTGACTGTGAGAGCCATTCAGTAGTGGAACTCTCTGCCCCGGAGTGTGGTGGAGGCTCCTTCTTTGGAAGCTTTTAAACAGAGGCTGGATGGCCATCTGTCAGGGGTGATTTGAATGCAATATTCCTGCTTCTTGGCCGGGGGTTGGACTGGATGGCCCATGAGGTCTCTTCCAACTCTTTGATTCTATGATTCTATATTTGAGTCCCCTATTAGAGCCATTTAGCAAATTCCTTTGGGCATATGCTCGACTGGTTGCAAAATGAGACAATAGATGAATGAAGCAGAAAAGGTTGAAGTATGGTTTCAAAGGTACAAATTTAACATTGCAGAACTTCTCTGAACCAATATAAATGATTATAAGAGAATAAGACAACCTGCTGAAGATACTCAAAGCAATGCCATTGTCAAGACAGGAAAAAGAACAATTTTTGATGACTTTTAGACATTTCTCCACCCGAGTGATAACTGCTGCTTCTGATCTTTCAGTCTTGTATTTTATAATTCAGTTTAATTTTAAAAGGGTTGAAATGGAAAAATGCCAGGTATTCATGGAGAAGACTCTATTGGACATCCCCACCTCCTTTTCCTCTTTTCTGTGGCACTTTCTAGTATGCCAGATTTTCTCATTTCACATGTCCAGCTGGGCATCTGGGGGGTGGGGAACGGGGGATTTTTATTAGAAGACAAAAAAGATTAAACAATTTAGGGGGTCAGAGACTTCAAAAACAGTCTTATTAACCGGCGTTTTAGAATGGTTATGGATGGAAAGAAAATTTGACTTGAAACATTCATTTTAAATTGACAAATCTAAGAGAAGTTAAATATAAGCCAACAATGTCATGTGGCGGCAAAAAAGCCAATGGGATTTTGGCCTGCATCAATAGGAATCTAGTATCTAGATCCAGGGAAGTCATGCTACCCCCTCTATTATGCCTTGGTCAGACCACAACTGGAATCACACTGTGTCCAGTTCTGGGCACCACCATTTAAGGGAGGTGCTGTCAAGCTGGAATGTGTCCAGAGGAGGGCGACTAAAATGTATAAATTAGGGCTGGGCGGTTTCGTTTCGTTAATTCGTAATTCGTTAAAAATTCGTTTTTTTGTTAACGAAGCAATAACGAACCATTCTGGAGCAACTTAAAAACGAAACGAATTTTTCAATTTGTTTCGTAAATGCTTCGTATTTCGTTATGTATTTGTTTCGTTATTGGTTTGAGGTCGTTTCGTTATTATTTCCGCATGTCTGGGGCAAGTTTTATAGTTGTTTTTTGTTTAATTAGTGAAAAAAAATTATAATATCACACCAACAGTCAACAACAGAGGGAGAGGGAAGCTTCAGAAGTTTTTTTAGCGTATTGCGCGATCGCGGCCGCCATTAACGAATCGATTCGTTATTGTTTCATTATTGTTTTGTAATTTTTTTACCATTTACGAAATTTCGTAAATATCGAACTTTTTTTAAGGAAAATTTCGGAATTCTTTTAAATATCGAAACGCAAAAAACCCCAAAAAACGAATCGATTTTAGAAACAAATTTTTCCGTTGTTACCCAGGCCTAGTATAAATATGTGAGAGGGAGTCATAGGAAGGAGGGAGCAAGTTTGTTTTCTGCTGCCCTGGAGACTAGGACGCGGAACAATGGCTTCAAACTACAAGAAAGGAAATTTCATCTGGACATTAGGAAGAACTTCCTGACTGTGAGAGCTGTTCAGCAGTGGAACTCTCTGCCCCGGAGTGTGGTAGAAACTCATTTTTTCAAGGCTTTTAAACAGAGGCTGGATGGCCATCCGTCAGGGGTCCTTGAATGCGATTTTCCTACTTATTGGCAAAATGAGGTTGGACTGGATGGCCCATGAGATCTCTTCCGATTCTATGATTCTATGAAGTGCATTGTATTCCAGTTGCATATGGAAAAGTGTGAAAAAGGTGTGGAAAGTAAAAAGAACAGGAACAAAAGCTGCCCCTAAATATTGGACTGCTTTCTCCAATAGCAGCAATTGTAGTGTTTTGGACCTCTACTGTCAATCTGACTGAAGACATTGATGAGGTGGTGCTGGTGGATGGGACCCAAAAAGTGTCCCATTTTCTTTTGCCAGAACACCATGATGCTTAAGTTTCTTTCTGTCACCAACTTGTACCATCCAAAATGGCTATTTATCTCATCTTAGAGCTGCCTTTGACCTGCTTGATCCAAGCTTATTCAGGAATAAATGTTTCAGGTCTCCTTAAGATGCCAGTTGTATGTTCATGATCAGAAACCCCATAAACATTTAAATTGCTTTAACCAACATAAACTGATAGTCCTACCTATTGAGATTTTATATCGATGCTTCCTGACCAGAGTTTGTCAGTTATTTTCTGGCTTTTGGAAGGATTTTTTTCCCTACGGACTATAAAAAGATTACAGGATGACCCTTTAGATTAGATTTTGAAGTTTTATTTTGGCATAAGAACAAAAGCGATTAAAATGAAGAATGCATGATTTAAACTATAGAAAATAACACAACTATTTGGCCACTGTGACTATCTGATTTTCACAGCTTGGAGCTACAGAAATATAATATCATAGAAGTTGAAAAAGACAGTGTTGTTTCCCTGTAGGTCAGTTTTATGATGGTGATTTTTTTTCCTTTTGCAATGGTAATTTGTTACACTATTCTACAGTTGGATAAAATGCCACTTAGCCTTAGTAATACTATATATGGAGCTTGCAAGGGGCTTTTGGGAAAAGCCATATGTGTGTTTTTAGCCAAAATATTTATTCTTGTTCTTGTTTTCTCTCATATTTTTTAGACTTCTTCATTCCAAACCGGTCAACTATGAATGCTGTTGATTTGCCTCCCATATTTGAATTTGTGGAAGGAGGGAACCTCACCGAAACCAACCTGACTTGCAACAATGGAGACTGTATCACTGTGGACTCCTTATCATGCCCAAACAACCTCAATAAGACTGCCTTGCTCTACACCCTCTCTATCTTTTATATCTTTATATTTATGATAGGCCTAGTGGCCAACTTTGTGGTTGTCTGGATGAACTTCCAAGCCAAAACCACCGGCTATGAAACTCACCTCTACATCTTCAATCTGGCTGTCGCTGACCTCTGTGTGCTCATCACTCTTCCGGTCTGGGTGGTTTCCCTTGTCCAGCAGAGCCAGTGGCATTTGGGAGAAATCACCTGCAAAATTACTCACCTTGTTTTTTCCATCAACCTCTATGGGAGCATCTTCTTCTTAGCCTGCATGAGTGTGGACCGATATCTCTCAGTGGCCTACTTCACAACCTCCAGCAATATGAAGAAGAAAAGGATCCGCCGCTGCATCTGCATTTTTGTCTGGCTTTTTGCCTTCTTTGTGTCTCTTCCTGATACATACTATCTGAAAACCATTTCCAACAACAATGAAACTTATTGCCGTCCTGTCTATCCAGAAGAGAATGCCAGGGAGTGGTTAGCTGGTATGGAACTGAGCTCAGTTCTTCTTGGTTTTATCATCCCCTTTCCTGTCATTGCCATTTTCTACTGCCTCTTTGCGAAAGCCGTATCAGCCTCTAATGACCAAGAAAGAAAGAGCAACGGGAAAGTAATTTTTGCCTATGTTGTCGTGTTCCTTGTCTGCTGGCTACCATACCATATTGCAGTCTTGCTTGACTTCTTCCTTGCCTTCCACTTCATACCTTTCAGCTGCCAAATGGAGAACTTCCTTTACACAGCCCTCCATGTCACTCAGTGTTTCTCCCTGGTTCACTGTTGCATCAACCCCATCCTCTACAATTTCATCAACCGAAACTATAAGTATGAACTCATGAAAGCTTTTATCTTTAAGTACTCCGCTAAAACTGGTCTTACTAAGCTGATTGACACTTCTAGGGTTTCAGAAATGGAGTACTCCGCTCTGGACCAAATCACTAAATAGCTATGGCCTTGCACACAAACAAAAATACGAAGAACTTTTTATCATGCTTTGTCTTCAATAGGACAATAAATATGATCTGATGCTAAAGAAATGGCAAAGGGTGGACAATGTAAAACTGTGTAGCAAAAGATGTACTACCAAAATATTGCATTTAAAATGTTTCATATGTTTTATCGACTGTTAGCTAACCCACACTGCTTTTTGTTTTGTTAGTGAAGAAACAGAGCAGTAAAGAAAGGTCATATTGTAAAATAAGTTATTTCTTATTTTATTATACCATATTTAGGGATCACAGAGCCTCTTCTCTTTTTACCTTGACTTCACATTTACAATGCGTATTTAAAAAACACAATACAACTCTATTTTCTTGCCCTTGCAATTGTATTGCAAAATTAAAGATATCTAACCTTAAGTGTATTGTGTCTATATTGACTATAGAATGATGTAGTTTAAATATTAGATTTTCAGTTGACATGCTACTATAAGAGCAGATTGTGTAACAACTGTTAAATGAAAATGGCATATATTCTGATTTTGCCTTGACAGACATACTTTCTCAATATATAGTTGTAATATAATCTATAATATATATATAATGCTAATTATAGTGTGTTGATGCTATGTTATGTTTAATGCTCAGTCACTTACAGATTGTATTCAATGTACCATCTCACTGTTTGTAAATTATTTTTTGAAAATAAATACTGTTGGAAAAGTAGGAGTGTTGTTGTTTTAAAAAAATAGTTCTGATATATGTATTTTCTTCCTTTATGAGAAAACTATTTTAATATTCCTTTACTTATGTGCATCTCTTCAAGCACCATGAATTTCACAGTGTTTTTTTTAACCAACTAGTTTGCCATATTTATTTATCGTGTCATCAGCAACCATACAATTGTGTTACAATTTTAACAGAACAAAACAAACACACAGATTAAAACAAAACAAAAAAACCCCACAGATTTTGCAAACTTGGTAGTTGGTTAAATGTCCTTTGACCAATATCTGGCCACTTGGAGTGCCTCTGGTGTTGCCGCAAGAAGGTCCTCCATTGTGCATGTGGCAGGGCTCAGGTTGCATTGCAGTAGGTGGTCAGTGGTTTGTTCTTCTCCGCACTCGCATGTTGAGGATTCCACTTTGTAGCCCCATTTCTTAAGATTGGCTCTTCATCTCGTGGTGCCAGAGCGCAGTCTGTTCAGCGCCTTCCAAGTCGCCCAGTCCTCTGTGTGCCCAGGGGGGAGTCTCTCATTAGGTATCACCCATGGATTGAGGTGCTGGGTTTGGGCCTGCCACTTTTGGACTCTCGCTTGCTGGGGTGTTCCAGCGAGTGTCTCTGTAGTTTGCCATGGCTTTCTGCAGAAACACCTGGTATTCCTTGGTGGTCTCCCATCCAGATAGTAACCAGGCCAAACCCTGCTTGACCCTCCAGAACAGTCAGAATGGGATGCCTTTCAGGGTATCGACAAGTGGTGCAAACCTATGCATCCCACATGATATAAACAAAGTACTTCCTGGGACGCCTGTAGATTTGTTTCCTAAAAGCCAGCGGGAAAGAAAAAGATAAAACAGAATGGCTCATATTTCTAAATCCACATGCTGACAATCCAAACCCATTAAATTTAACATATTGTCTTTTCTTTGATAGTTAGGCAAGTTATGGTATCTGCTAAACCACAGAGTTCATACACTGTAAAAGCCATTGCGTTCTTTCCATTGAATAATTATATCTAAGCACTACCATAAGGCCAACAACCACAAACCCCAGAGCTAGGACTTAAAATGCAAAATGCACGTTAAAAAAGCAAGAGGTTTGGTTTCTTTCTGGAATGCACTCCTTGTGGTCTTTCTTGTATACACATTATTTGACCACTTCCAGTCTATTTAAGTTTGAATGGAAAATAGATCCACTGGTATTGAGAAGATAAATATATCATCCTTCCTTCCCTGCCACCTTTATGGCTTTAAAATCTGTCTCATTCAATGAAGTCTTGTTTAGGCAAGTTTTGCTTTATTAAAGGATGTCACTTAGGAGATTATCAGTTAACTCTTTCAGATCATTACAAAACTATGATCCCACTCTAACTGCCATAGTTGAATTCCTCTCCCTCCGCAGCCCCCGGTGGCGCAGTGGGTTAAACCCTTGTGCCAGCAGGACTGAAGACTGACAGGTCAGAGCTTCAAATTCAGGAAGAGCGTGGGTGAGCTCCCTCTGTCAGTGGGAGCTCCCCATGAGAGAAGCCTCCCACAATGATGGTGGTAAAACATCAAACATCTGGGCATCCCCTGGTCAATGTCCTTGCAGATGGCCAATTCTCTCACACCAGAAGTGACCTGCAGTTTTTCAAGTTGCTCCTGACATGGAAAAAAAGCACCCGTTCCTAAGTTATTATTATTAATTATTATTAAACTTTATTTGTACTCCGCTAGCATCTCCCAAAGGACTCGATGCGGCTTACAAAGGCCAAGGCCTCAATACACAATATACAATACAAAACCTAAGGCAAATTAAAACAATTAAAGCAATATAAACAACAAGCAATAAACAATGCACTAAAACTGGGCCGGGCCAGAGTAATGGGTACAGGATTAAAAGTGCTCTTAAGTTTCTCTTAAGTGTCAACAAACACATAGACAAAAAATAGCTAAATTTGGAGCCAATACAAAATTAATCAGTATGGTTAAAACAAACAAAAGGAAAGTATAGGGATCGCTCAAACGTGAGGCAAATATATTTAAGCAGTTGGAAACCACAGAGAAAGAGAGACAAAACATTTCTAACTTCGTGCAAATGCTATGTACTAGGGCTGGGTAGCCACGGAAAAATTTGTTTCTAAACTCGATTCGTTTTTAAGGGGTCCATCACGTTTCGTTTCTTTAAAGAATTCCGAAATTTTCCTTTTAAAAATTTCGAAATATACGAAATTTCGTAAATTTCGAATCGATTCGTTAATGGCGGACGCGATTGCGCAATATGCTAAAAAACCCTCCAAATATGCTAAAAAATATGCTGAAAAAACCTCCAAATGGGACAGGGGGAACTTCTAAAGCTTCCCTCTCCCTCTGTTGTTGACTGTTGGTGTGATAAAACAAACAACAACTATAAAACTTGCACCAGGCATGTGAAAATAATTACGAAACAATTTCGAAACAATTACGAAACAATTACGAAATAAGTTGAAAAATTGTTTCGAATCTATTTAACTCCTCACACTATTCCAAAATGACTCAATATCGGATCGCTAATTTAAATAGGAATTAATAACGAATTACGAAATTAACGACCCAAACCGCCCAGCCCTACTACGTACATACATCTGAGTTGGCAGTGGCTGACCAGGACAGGCAACTGGGAATGTAGTCCCTAGGTCAGTTCCCACAGCCCACTCAGTTCTTCGAGCTTCCAAAAGCTGGCATGACTTGTTTTTGATAAATCCATGTTGACTATTAATGATGACCATATTAGTTTCTAAGTGTTCGCAGACCACTTCCTTAACAATCTTTTTCAGAATCTTGCCTGGTATCGATCTGAAGTTGACAGACGGTAATTGTTTGGGTCATCTTTTTTTCCCTTCTTGAAGATAGGGACCACATTTGCCCTCTTCAATCTGATAAGACTTGACCCATTCTTCAAGAACTCTCAAACTTGATTGCTATCAGTTATGAAATGACTTCCCCTAGTTCTTTCAATACTCTTGGGTGTAATTGATTTGGTCCTGGGGATTTGAATTCATTTAGAGCAGCCAGGTATTCCTGGATGACTTGTTTCCCGATTTGGGGTTGAATTTCCCCAAACCCTTCATCTGTTGCATGTTGCTGAGGTTGCTTTCTTTTTGTGAGATGGCTGAGGCAAAGACGGCATTAAGTGTTGTTGTTCATTCGTTCAGTCGTCTCCGACTCTTCGTGACCTCATGGACCAGCCCACGCCAGAGCTCCCTGTCGGCCGTCACCACCCCCAGCTCCTTCAAGGTCAGTCCAGTCACTTCAAGGATGCCATCCATCCATCTTGCCCTTGGTCGGCCCCTCTTCCTTTTGCCTTCCACTTTCCCCAGCATTATTGTCTTCTCTAGGCTTTGCTGTCTCCTCATGATGTGGCCAAAGTACTTCAACTTTGTCTCTACTATCCTTCCCTCCAATGAGCAGTCGGGCTTTATTTCCTGGAGGATGGACTGGTTGGATCTTCTCGCAGTCCAAGGCACTCTCAGAACTTTCCTCCAACACCACAGTTCAAAAGCATCTATCTTCCTTCGCTCAGCCTTCCCTAAAGTCCAGCTCTCACATCCGTAGGTTACTACAAGGAATACCATGTCTTTGACTAGGCGACGGCATTAAGTAGTTCTGCCTTTTCCCTATCCCCTTTTAGCATTAGCCCATCTTCTCCTCACAGAGGCCCTATCGCTTTTAAACAGAGGCTGGATGGCCATCTGTCAGGGATGATTTGAATGCGATTTTCCTGCTTCTTGGCAGGGGGTTGGACCCGGAGGCCCATGAGGTCTCTTCCAACTCTATGATTCTATGATTCTATGATTCTTCCTTTTTCTTCCAATGTAAGCATAGAAGCCTTTTTATTGTTTTTAATATTCTTGGCAAGCCTGAGCTTATTTTGCAAAAACAAGCTCCCTCCTCCCTATGACTTCCCCTCACATATTTATAAATGGCCATCTTGTCTCCTCTCAGAAGAGATTCTGCAGAGAGAAGCCACTCCTTGCGAACCTTTTCTCTAAAGGAGTTGCTTATTCATTTGAGTTCTTTGTCCTTTTCCCACTTCTTGTGCATATCTCTTTTGAGTCTTAGCCCGGTTAGAAGTTCTTTGGACATCCATTTTTGCTTATTTGTCCTTGTCTCATTTTTTCTCTTTGTTGCCACTGTTTGCAATTGTGCCTTGAGTATTTCACTCTTGAAAAACTCCCATTCATCCTGAACTCCCTTGTATTTTAGTATTGGTGTCTACGAAAAGTCAGCTTTCAAGTCCAGGATGCGGGTTTGACTTGTCATATTTTCGACCTTCCTTTGTATCACAAACTGCAAGAGCACATGGTCACTTGCCCCTAAGGATCCCACCACTTCAACTGCATTGATCAGCTTTGAAAATGATTGCCATTATGTTAGTTTAAATCCTGGCCATAATTAAAACTTGGAAATTGAATTTAAATAATCTAACTGTGAGTAGTAGCCCTTCCTTAAATATCAATACTGATTTGAATATTAGATGCATATGTTTTCTAAACATGAAAGTACAAAACCTCTGTTGGCGTGCAGCAGAGTATCGCAGAAGCTCAGAATAATGAACTCTGGAGTCTCCCAGTAAAAGCAGGTTTCAGCTTTACTAAATCAGCTCATAAAATACAACATACACCATCAGCGGACAGACGAGAAGAACACAATGAGACATTTTAAAGCCATAAAGGTGGCAGGGAAAGAAGGATGATAGAAGCCTTTATGGCTACCCCATAAAGTTCAAATGATTTCTCGATGATCCTATTATTCAGATAAAGAATACTCTGAAGTGGTTTTGCCAGTTCCTTCCTCTGAAATATAGCCTAAATATAACACTTCATATTTGTGGATAGTCTCCTATCTGAGTCTTAACCAGGGCTACCCTAGCTTCCAAGATATGATGGGATCCAGTGCCTTTATTTAAACCATTTTGGGATCTTTGCCTTCAAGTGTTTTTACTACCATTGTTCCTCTTGGAACCTGTTGACAGTGTCATATAAT